TCACTTTCAAGCACAAAATAGGGAGAGAGAGAGAGAGAGGAAATTTGCTCACAAAATTTTCTAACCTCTCAAATGGGGGAGAGACCCCCCATTATATAGAAATACAAGCCAAAGGCTTGCATTCATCCCTCCATACACGTGTATGGAGATGAGCATCAGTGAACAACAACTGGCACAGCTGGCAAATAAATATCTGAAAAAGGAGAAAAATAGCCGCCGGCCATTATTACTGGCCGACCGGCCATCAATGTGGCCGACAGGCCACCACTGGTGGCTGATAGGCACAAGTCATGGCCGGCAGGCTAGGGAGATAGCCGACAGGCCACCCTCTCCTCCAGAAGTGAAGCAACAAGCTCTTGGCCCATAACCAAGCACAAAACAGACAGGATTAGAGGCTCTGAGGCAAGGCGCTCAGCCGAGACCTTCAAGGACCCAAAACGAACATGAGTGAGCACAATCATCGGGTGTTCAAACGATGACAAACAAGTCTTGAGAACAGTAAAAAATGGGGTGTCTACATCATGATGTGAATCTTATTTACATTATATGCTCTTGTTCCGATTATTAGGCTAGCATTACTATATGATGCAGACACACAAGTATAGACTATTTTGCAAGAATTAGAACATTTGATTTCATGCTTGTTTTGAAAAGGGTTTGTGAATGTGCCATTGAAAAAGTGGGCTCAAATGTACATTAATCAAACTATCTCAATTCAAGCAACTAACCTTCATCCACACACATTCAAGCAGTTTATCAATTAAGCACTTAACCTCATGGTAATCATGTTAAACATGGCAACAATCACAAGCATGTAATTATGCTAAAGTGAGTCACCCAGTACTCCAAGCCAAAGAGATAACAAAGAGTTAGAAAATGCATGATCCTAACTGTGCAATATGACTAATGCAATACATGCGATATGTAAGCTAAATAGGCTCGGCTACTAATATGGCATATGAATCAATTTCATACCATGCGGTCTAAGTATGTATTCAAATAAGCGTTAAACTAACAATGAAAGTTAGAATGATGAACCAAGCCTCGGTGCATCCAAGACAAATGTATGTAAACACGAGTAATGCTAAACAAAACATGATGTCCTAAAACTAACCATCATAAGCAGTTAAATAAAAAGGAGAAACACGTGGGGTTGGAAGACATACACATTATTACCACAGTGTGCCCTTACGCAGGAGGGTTCGAATGAACTAACTAGCTAAACTAATTAACTAGCTATTTACAAAACGAAAATAAATTAGCTAAGCTACTAACTAATTATTATAACAACAAATTAAACTAACTATTCTAGCTAGTTATTACAACATCACAACTAATTAACTATTCTAGCTAATTATTACAAATTGGAACTAACTAATTTATTTACACTAAATAATTAATTACAAAATTCTAATTAGCTAATTAATTACAACATGAAGTAACTAAACTAACTACTCTACTTATTCCGTCTTGGAGAACGAGGAATGTTCATGCATGCACGCAGATTTTCCACCCGAAAAAACCAATGTTGCTGCTGTCAGATGCCTCTGTTGCACATAACACTGGCACTGATTTCCATCTCAAGGCCAACTCTGTTCTGTTGGGGAAGCACATTGCTGGATTTTGCACTGGTGGCCAGCAGAGGGCCTGCCGTCCACTGATGATGGCCTGCGGGCCACTACTGACTGAATTATCCTACTACAATAGAGAGCAAATAGAGCAGAGACAGTGTATTCTCAAGGGTTTGTTTGCACAATTTATCCCTCATTATCATTTGAACAGCTCAAAGGAGTAGTAAAATTTGAACACAAACCATCAATGGATAAAATTTCATTACATGATGGCTTATGAACAAAGTGTGCAAGCTCAATAAATGCAATAAAACGAGACTCTCAAAACCACCTCCCTATCATGAAAGATCAAGGGAAGTAGTAGACAATGAATCTTGAGCTGTTTACATCACTAATGAGTATGAAACGACTCAAGACTCAAGGGTTCAGTTAACGTCCGATTGAACCAAACAAAGTTATTATCTTGCTCACTTTTAATTCCAAGTTTTAATTATTTCATTTTAGATTACCATCCATTCCTTAGTTAATTGAGTCCAAAGGTGCATTTAAGTCCTCTAATGGAAAGAGGGCTTAAACCAAGAGTTCCTTTGGGCATGAAAAAGACATAATACCGTTGGTAATGAACCCCAAAGGGATTAAACCATTAAGTATGACACCTCAATCTCATGCTTAAACAAACAAGTAGTTTGAAACAACTTTCAAAGCAAAGCAAAAGCCAAGAAATGAGGGAGGTTACAGAGGTAATCACAAGTAAGGAAAGCCATAAATAAATGCTATCACCTCAAATAGGTTGGTGGCTGAGGCCTAAGACACCAAACTCATAAGAGCAATTACACTACAAGTATGCAAAACAAAGCTCAAATGTAACAAATACTTAGAAACGGTCCTAAAACAGTCCTAAATAAGTCATAACACATGCTGGAATTTAGACAAAAGTCACTAGATTAATAAGCTAAAACATGGATCATGCTAGGCTAGTAAGCAAGATACAAGGAGGGGAGGCTAACCCCTCCAATTTTGGACTTCAAAACAACATTTTAGCCACTAAAATAACTTTGAAATTCAGTATTTAAAAGCTCAAAAAAGTTGACAAAGAGGTGGGAAACACAAGGGCAAAGGCCTATGAAGCAAAGTATAAAGAAGGGCTATCAACCCCTCTGCCTTTAATAGCCTTAAACCACAAGTTTCAGCCCAAAAATAAAAGTTTTAAACAGTCCAAAAAACAATAGAAAAGATAGAAAAGAAGTGTAAAGATGGTACAAAAGCAAGAGAATGTATACCTCTTGAAGAGGAATGAACCCTTAAGTCATAAACCACCAATTTCACACTCTCAAGTGCTTTAAGAGCTCAAATTCAAGCTCAAATCACCTCAGTAAGAAGCTCTCTAGGTTTGGTTTAGAGTGTTTGGGCAAAGGCTATGCAAGTTGCACGAGAGAGAGAAAGAGAGAGAGAGAGAGAGAGTTGTAGAAAAAAAGGATATTTTTTGCTCCCAAGATTTTTCTATCCTTCAAATATGAGAGAGAGGTCATCTATATATAGAAAAACATGTTAGTATCTCAGAAATATCAAGATAGAAACAACTCGACCAGCGTAGGAACAGCTGGCACAAATATCTGCAAAAATTTGCTTTTTAACACTAATGGCCGGCAGGCCACCAATGGTAGCCGGTAGTCCACCAATAGGTCAATCCACTCAAAAAGGGGCAAAATATTCACCACTTCCCGACAAGTCACTAACAAGGGCTAGCAGGCCACATCAGTGGCCGGCCACAAAAATCTATTTTCAGGCCCAATTTTAAACAGGCATATCTCCTTCATCTGAACTCCGTTTAAGGTCATTCTTGAGTCTAAATTGAAGCCCCCGAAGTCTAATTTCCAAATGTGTGGCCTCACATCTAAATTCTAAGTGTGCAAAGATATATGACTATTTTAGTGAAGGCTGCTCAGTTTTGTCCTAACGGATTGATGCTTAACTTCTCCTCAACTTGTTTTCTTCCCTCCACTCCTATTTTCTTCAACTCCAAACCTCTAAATAAGATGTTTTTAAATATTTTTCAAAGATGTCACCTCCCTTTCATTTATTTTCATTTTTTCCTTACTCGGTTTACCAAAAGGTGCAATTTTTAGTGAAATACGAGCCTTGGAACATCATAGAAACATTTTCAAAAATATTTTGAAAGAGATCATTTTAAGGTCTAAAATAGTTTTGGTCAATATAGTTTTGGTCCAAAATGGGGTGTAAGGTTGGGATTTAGAAGCTCTTCTTGCAGAAGAAATTGAACGTTTGGACAGCATAACTTTCATCATCGAGTGATCAATCAGTGGCGCCCAAGTTTTAAAGGCAGTCAAAAATAGGGTGTCTACATGTGCCTACAATTGTAAGGAATTACTGAAAGCTCTATCCCATCCACACCAGTTACTTGGTTTTGTTTGTCTTTGCCTCCTCTTAGCTTCTTCTTGCTTTAGGTTGCAGCTGAAAGTATAAAGCTCTATGTAGCCATTGCTGATGGAACTCTCAATTTGGTTGACTAGGTAGGCCTTTGATCATCTAGTGGTGCAATCAGATAGTTTCTTGTGCTCTTGTGAAAGTAGCATTGACTTGTATTCTGTTTCAGTTTTTTGAGATGCAGCGCAATGACGTTGTTAGCACTACAACAAAAATGGGTTTTTACGGCGCACAATGCATGTCGTAAAAACTCTTTTACGACGTACAGCTCGCGTCATATTATGACTAGTCATGGAAAGTCATTCATTTTCAACAACATGCTTCGTACGCTGTTAAAAACTATTTAACGGCAGATTTTGTGCGTCGTCATTATTTTTTCTACGACATGCTATAGTAAGCCGTTAAAAACTATTTAATGACAGATTTTGTTCATCGTTATTACTTTTTCTACGACTACTTTTGCACGCCATTAATTGGTAAGACAAATAACGACGCTGATTGTGCGTCGTAAAATATGTAATACAACGACTTATTATGCCTGCCATAGAATATGTAGTTTTTTTTTTATTTTTAAATTCAGTAGGTTCTATTTGACCAATTTTGTACAATCTAACAAATATTACAAACAAGCATCACAAAACATCAATCAACCACCAAAATATTGTTTGAAACATCAAAAAGAAACTATATCCATAAATTATAAACATTCAACAATTGTCTATACATTCCAAACATTCAGAAACTATATCCTTAAGTTCTAAACTGTACAAAAAGTTTAAACCATCCAAAACTATGCATATCTAACTTTCTAAACATATCGATAACTATTAAGAGATTATCTAAAACTACCGACAACAGTTCCTATAGCAATTGCAGCTGCAGTTGTAGCAAATCCATTTACTCCTATCACAGGGACGAGGGTGCCAAATGTTTGTGTTAAGGCACCCAAACCCGCGGCAATACTGGAGCAACTAACCCTATTGCATAAGTACAAAGACCAACAACTCAGGGACAAAAATATTTCTTGAGGTATTAAGAAATTATCAAAAAAATTTGAGACATCAACAAAATATTTCCAAAATTAATAAGATAATTCAATGGCTTCATAAAAGCAATGTCATAATGAAAATTAGCAAAAATTCAAGATCTCAATAGTCTTAACATATATGCAAATAAAATCCACATGAAGCAAAACCTTTTTTTTCATACCTCAAATGAAAATGAAGTTACCCTTTTGTTGCAATGTTTCTAGAGAAAAATGAGTAAGAATCTTCAAACAAACCATTAAGTTCGTACAGGAAAATATAGTTTGCTACTAAATCCAAGCCATAAGAAGCTCAAGAGAAAAATTAAATTTAAAAAGAGGAAGAGGTGAAATTAATCTACTTCAATGCAGCACCTACTTAGGACTTGCATAATTATGTTAAAGGATCTCTATGTATGAGGTTTAGGTTTGTATGGGTTTTATCCATTACCATTGTAAGTTCCAAAATAAAAAGTCCAAGTCAAATTAGAGTCTAGGACAAGAAACATGTGAATTAGGAATCTACGACAACGATCTTTAGTGCACAAGAAACAAAGGGTCTTTAAAAATGACTAATTAATAGGAGTGATACAACAAACTATAAGGTATAAAAAGTATTTGAATGCTTCAAACTAAAGGCTATGCTTATGCTATTAGTAACATGAATAGATGCATGCAAAGTCAATGAAACATTCCCGGCACAATTTTTGAAAGGGAGTATGGTGTAGGAGTTTACTGAGGTGGTGAAGGTTTTTTTGACGTGATGAAGCAGTGTTGCTAATTGAGTCTTTTGAGGCTTGTGGCTGCAGTTTTGCTGGGTGTGGCTAGGGTCTCTCCTACTTATTTCTATGTTGCTGCTGATTGATCTTTGTTTTTAGTTGTAATACATTGCTGTGGAGTTGGATGTTTTCTCTATAATGAGTGAAGAATGTGATGCATTTTTTAAGATTTGTTGTTGGCCTCTTTAACCAGATTGTCTAACTGTGTCACTGTCCAATTGTCAATTTCGAAGACTACTCAACATATGCACAACATTCATATGAATCAGTTTGCATAAGATTCTTGCCATTTGAGAAAATAACTATAAATTTTAACCAAGATAATAAACAGAACTACGATTTTAGAAGGCAAAAATTCATGATAAATAGATGTAGGCTAAATTGAGCAAATTATATTCACCTATAGAAAACTTACAGTTTGGCAATGAAACAGTTATTGATTTTAATGGTTTCACCAAAATGTAAGTAAAACAACAACGTATGCCAAACCTCTAATTCAGCCAACTTTCCTGAAATTAAAATCATAAAATGGGGAAAAAAATGCTTATAGTAGTAACAGAGTTCAAACACCCCATTTAAACAGATTAGTAAGTTAGTTTGCTTGAATTTGCAATAATGCATTGTCCATCATATGAATTCTAATAGTGACTGTCATGCTAGAGGACTTAGAATTACTTCACCTCCTCCATGTAATCTACTAGAAAAATTGGTGAATCAAGTGAATGATGATCTAATTTGACCTAAGTTATTTGTTGGAGGAATTCAAATTCAAATATATTTTAAGTTTCATAATGATGCACATGCACCCATCCTACATGACTAAAGCTTAGACTACGGGCTTTCATCTTTAGAATATATCCAAACAGACCATTCTCCTAGAGACTCACCAATTGTTTTTCTTCTTCAGAAAGGCCTTTATCCATCTGTTCAAATAGAGCACTCCACTTAGCTTGATGCACATCAGCATGCACACAAATAAATAAAGTAACCAGCATACTCCATCTGTTTAACATATGATGAAGGTAAATCAATGAGCATATCCTGAATGGTTTCTGGTGCACCCTGGACATTATCAACAAGCAAAAGGGCATCTAAGTTTAGTCAAATGTAGATATATTTTTTGTAATCATCCAATTAAAAAAATGAGAGATAAATGGCATATTTCCTAAAATGAATAACCATTTAATTGCACAGGGAGCAGGGACCAAAAAATGAAGTCAAGTGAAAGTAAAAAATTCAACTACAAATGCAATTCAAAAAATACAAAAGCATAATTACTATAAATGATATACATTTTTAAGAAATGCTTCAATCTATTGTTGGAAGGAAGAAATGATAGCAAATCTTACTAAAATATATAAACCATTACAACGTTTTCTCAAAATTTCAAGTCATATAATGTTTATAAAAATGTAGTACGTCTATTTATTAATTATACTTTTGTGCATCAACTTAAAATCTGAAAGTAAGCAGGAAAAGAAAACAAGCAACCAAATAACCTTCACAAAAGCAAGAAATTACTCCTGAACACGAACAACAACTGCCATCCGTTTCAAGTGAGATGCGAAGTGGTGTCTCTGCACAATCTGAATAGCATTGCCACCTCCCCTGAAATTATTGAAAATAAAATTAGGATTGGGAAAAACTTAGCATAATAGCCTTTTACAAAAACCAATGAAGTGAAAGATGAACAAGAGATGGAAACAATTATTCATTAAACAATGAATTATAGGCTGCACAAGTAACTATAATGTCACTGTTTCTAGTCCATGTAACCTAAATATGCAAGACAACAAATAGAGGGGAACTGGAGTTATTATCGATCAAACGAGCAACAAGTAAATATTCACACTTATCCCATGTGTTTTGGTGCATTTTGGTATGTTTCGGTGGAAACAATGGAATTTCAGTATTCATTTATGTTTCATTTTGATTTCCTAAGAAATAGAAACATTTTGACCATTTCAATGGAAAAGAAACAAAATGGTGCTCCTTGCTTAGGTGACTGATTCACATAGCAAGAGCAGGAGCAGTAGAGGGAGTAAGAGTGGAGGAGCATCAAATTTCAACACATTTAGGGTCCAAAGCATTGCCAAAGCACTTATACATATATGTTCGGGTCTGTATCTGTGCAAATGAGCTGGAAATATATTTTCCTTTGCATTAATGAGGGCAGTCGGCCTTTGATTCAAATTTGTTTCACAAGTAAAGATAAAATTTAACCTTTCATATTGTCCATTAGCATATTTTTTCCCTCAACATTTTCTTTTTATAAGTATAACATTGAAGATACCTAATTACAATAAGAAAAGTGATAAATAACATTAGTTAGAAGAAATCGAGGGTGCAAGAAAGATTAAAGATTGGAACAATTTATATAATGTAAAGACCAATACAAACAATAACTGAGTACTAATTAAATAGTGACAACTAATGTTGCTGCTTACTTTTTCGACATAGCCTTCACATCAAATTTATAACTCCATTCTATTCCCTTAAGTGCAGCCTTCTCAAGAGGATCACTGACCTACAAGCAACATTGAATGATATAGTAACTAAAGCATAAGGCAGTTCAGTACAAAAAAGTTCCAATTAGAGATCTGAAATATGAAATTCTCAGTGCTCAATAAACTTTTAACAAGGATTCTACATGTATTAGGTAGCTGCCTCTAAGCACAAGGCAGTTCAGTACCAAAAAGTTACAATTAGACAAGACTGGTTTGCTCATGATGTAGAGAATGCAATAAACGATAGTGTTCAATCCTACATCAAATCAATCTAAACAATACCTGCAGGATATGCGAGAAATGTCAATCAAATCTAGTAATAATTTTTTGGCTGATATGACTGAAGCCTCTCACCCAGGTCATTTTGTTTTGACATGTCCAGTTCTTTAAAAAAAAAGTTTATTGTTTGGACAATGTCCCATAATATAATAAGCTGGACAATTGATATTAGTGACTACCTCAATGCTCAAAAAAGATAAGTCAAATTTTCTAGGATATTACTTTCTGTGGGGAGTTGGTGGATCTTTTTGGTTGCCTTTATGCCATTCCCCACATTGGAGGGGAAGAGGGTGGGGTGCATTGGACGAGATCAAAATTTGGAAGCTTTAAAGTAATAACCTATTATAAAGTCTTGAGCAGTCAACATTGATCTTTCTTTTTTTCTTAGGAAGGAGTTTGAGTCTAAGGCTCCGACTAAGGTGGCATTTTTTGTGGGGTAGGTTATGCTACATTTGTTTTACATTGATTTTTTGTGGGGTAGGTTGGCATCAACGATTAGTAGCACCAGATCTTTTGTTTTTCTTCTTCAGAAAGGCCTTTATCCATCTGTTCAAATAGAGCACTCCACTTAGCTTGATGCACATCAGCATGCACACAAATAAATAAAGTAACCAGCATACTCCATCTGTTTAACATATGATGAAGGTAAATCAATGAGCATATCCTGAATGGTTTCTGGTGCACCCTGGACATTATCAACAAGCAAAAGGGCATCTAAGTTTAGTCAAATGTAGATATATTTTTTGTAATCATCCAATTAAAAAAATGAGAGATAAATGGCATATTTCCTAAAATGAATAATCATTTAATTGCACAGGGAGCAGGGACCAAAAAATGAAGTCAAGTGAAAGTAAAAAATTCAACTACAAATGCAATTCAAAAAATACAAAAGCATAATTAATGTAAATGATATACATTTTTAAGAAATGCTTCAATCTATTGTTGGAAGGAAGAAATGATAGCAAACCTTACTAAAATATATAAACCATTACAACGTTTTCTCAAAATTTCAAGTCATATAATGTTTATAAAAATGTAGTACGTTTATTTATTAATTATACTTTTGTGCATCAACTCAAAATCTGAAAGTAAGCAGGAAAAGAAAACAAGCAACCAGATAACCTTCACAAAAGCAAGAAATTACTCCTGAACACGAACAACAACTGCCATCCGTTTCAAGTGAGATGCGAAGTAGTGTCTCTGCACAATCTGAATAGCATTGCCACCTCCCCTGAAATTATTGAAAATAAAATTAGGATTGGGAAAAACTTAGCATAATAGCCTTTTACAAAAACCAATGAAGTGAAAGATGAACAAGAGATGGAAACAATTATTCATTAAACAATGAATTATAGGATGCACAAGTAACTATAATGTCACTGTTTCTAGTCCATGTAACCTAAATATGCAAGACAACAAATAGAGGGGAACTGGAGTTATTATCGATCAAACGAGCAACAAGTAAATATTCACACTTATCCCATGTGTTTTGGTGCATTTTGGTATGTTTCGGTGGAAACAATGGAATTTCAGTATTCATTTATGTTTCATTTTGATTTCCTAAGAAACGGAAACATTTTGACCATTTCAATGGAAAAGAAACAAAATGGTGCTCCTTGCTTAGGTGACTGATTCACATAGCAAGAGCAGGAGCAGTAGAGGGAGTAAGAGTGGAGAAGCATCAAATTTCAACACATTTAGGGCCCAAAGCATTGCCAGAGTACTTATACATTTATGTTCGGGTCTATATCTGTGCAAATGAGCTGGAAATATATTTTCCTTTGCATTAATGAGGGCAGTCGGCCTTTGATTCAAATTTGTTTCACAAGTAAAGATAAAATTTAGGGTTGGTTTGGGATATTCTAAAAAAGTGTACTTTTTGACTTATTGGCTTATATGGGTTGAGTTTGGGTTGGGTTTGATGTGATATGTTAGAGAGGTGATGTGATTTAAATAAGATGATGTGACTTAAATAGGATAGTGACTTTTTGACTTTTTGTATTATTTAGTTTATGCCAAACCAACCCTTAACCTTTCATATTGTCCATTAGACTCTCTCCAAACACGTTTACAATATTATATATAAATATATATATATATATATATATATATTTTTTTTTTGTAGGAGGTGAGATTCAAATAGTGGACTTACTGTTTGCTTAAATACTATGTTAGATTGTCAACCAACCGCATATTTTAAAACTTAAACTGTTAAAGAGATGAACAGCTTTAAAATTTATCTCTTTAACAAATTTACTAACTAACCTCTTCAAAAATGACGATTTTAGTGGGAGTTTGGTGCACTAAGTTAATTTTCTTAATAAGTATCTTAACAACACTTGTTAAAACACTCAAAATAATTATATACGCTTTATGTGAATGTGTCATAAAAACATGTGGTTTGTTAGTCACTAACAAGACCATATACATTATAAGTCTACTCAACACATATGCATGTATTATAGGACATATTGTGGTAATAAATATGTCTCATTCATAATAACTCTATGATTACATTGCATATGCATCAAATAATACAAGCTTTTAAATAATGTCACTACACACACACACACATAAGTTACTCCATATCTATTAATTGTAGATCAAACCAAAGGACTCCATAGAGAAGAAAAGTATGGGAAAAGAGAGAGTTGAGAAGATGAAGTTGCTTGTGGCACTACTGGTTTTGCAGCTGTGCTTTGCAGGGTTTCACATTGTGTTAAGGCTTGCACTCAACATTGGTGTTAGCAAAGTTGTTTAAAAACTTAAACCGTTCCATATCCTCCTCATAGCTCCCATTCTCAAATAGATAGTGTGCGTATTTGTGGAAGTTACAAAATTTATCTGGCACATGTTCATTATTATAAATGCACCAATAACTCAAGCAATATCTAGCTTCTGCTGAATTCTTCGCAACTCAGAGCTACATAGAATTGCATGAAATCAAATGGGCGAAGGATACAAAGTCCACATGAAAAGAAATTCTCAGTGAGGCATATTTACAAACAAGTATGGTGCATTCGATTCGTCAAAAATCAAAAGCAGTTGCTCAAAATCAAACACCATATTTAGATTCCAAAAACAAAATTCTTCATATTTAGCATGTAACTTTCCGCTTTGATCTTAACTAACCAACATATAAAAATAAAAATAAAAAATCATCTTTCATCTCACAATTCAACATAGTGAAGGTTAGAGATGGAGGTTTTTGGTCTAAGATCTGAGGGCAAAGCAAAGCAAAGTAGAAAATCAAACAGTTTTGGGTGAAAAATGAGCAGAACAGAAGTAGAACAAAGAAGCACAAAATGAAGATGTAACATTAACAGAGTCGAAGATCTGAAACCCTTGAAAAAGAGGACAAAGATGCGAGATTTAACTGATGGGGAGAGAAAGAGAGAGAGAAGGAGAAAGAGTATGAAGAAGATGAAGAAGAAGAAGTAGGGTACCTTGATCATGTCGATGGGTTGGATAACATAGGTAGCGAGCATGCTAGACGCTCCACCATTGACGAAGGGTTTCACTGCAGGCCATACTCCTATGGATTTTGGCTTCTCCTTTCCCATTTCTTATTTTGTTTCTTACTGCAAAAAGAGGTCACAACAATGGTGGAGCAAGGGTTGTGTGGTCGGTCCTCCCCTTCCCCCTCTTTCTTTCCCTTCTATGCTCCTTCTTTCCCTTCTATGCTCCTTTTGATGAACCTTGGTCCCTTTCGATTGTAAAAAAGCAAGAGTTAATCAATTTTGATTTTTTTTTTTTTTTGAATTGAATTTGGCGCCCAACATTTTCATTTTGGCGCTTATTTTTTTTTTTTTTGGGTCATATTATTCACGATAGAAATTGAGTACCTTGAAAATTAAAATATTTTTAACGAATAACATATGTGCGTTGTAAAAAATATGCTTTTTAACAGTTAACTTTTTGTGCGCCATGAAATGTTCAATATTTTTGACGTACGCATGTCGTGTATAGTTTATGTATTAACGGCATGTCATATGCACGTCGTAAAAAATTTTATTATTTACGACGTGCATTGTAAGCCGTTAAAAAATTATCGTTATTACCATTCACGGCCTACACAATAGACATGTCGTGGTTGGAAGAGTATTTACGACGTGCAAAAAAAACAAGTCGTAAAAATGAAACACTACGACATGCATTTATTGTATGCCGTTGATATGATGTCGTAAAAAGTCAGTTTTGTTATAGCGTAGGGCACTTGAAATTTATAAGAAGGCAGGGAATCAGGTATACATTGTGTGATTCTCTGCACACCCGTACACGTGCACATATGAGCACGTGCTTCCGTCAAGCATCTTTAATGTTTACACTCTAGACTTTTACTGTCTGATCTTTACATTCTAGCTACCTCTGTAGTTCTTCTGTACAATCTTTATCAGTTGTGGAATATATTTGTATGTTATTGTAGGCAGAGAGTTTATCTGAGCTCGTTGAGATCTGTAGGGGCCTTGGTTTTGGACATGGGCAGAAATATATTAAAATAGAACAGGTAAGGACCTCATAATTTGACTTGGTAAGTCCATCTTTGTTCCTGTAGATCTTTATAAGTTTATTGCAGCCTAGTATTTGTTATGTTCTTCGTTTTAACTAATCAGTGATTATTGTATTTTATATAATGTCCAATTACAGCCTCCTACATCATTTATGACAGCCATGGAAGATTATGTGAAGGATGCCCCACAAATTTTAATGCTTCCATGGAGACTGGTATGTCTTTATGTATCTGCTTTGCGGGGAATCATTATAATCTTGCTAGAACTTTAAAATATTTTGTTTAGTCTGCATAGGATTGCTAATACCCCAATTGGAAGTACTTGTTAAAACTAATCACGACATATAATTTTATCTTGTGCAGACCTATATTTTGTTTTGTTTTTCTTTTCTTAAGATTTTCTAGCTATCAAATCAAACCTTGTGTCCCAATAACTTGGAGTCAGCTACATGATTCATTTTTCTCCCTTATGTTCTATCAAGGGCCATATGCTTAGTTAAATTAAATAAATTCATAGCCTTTTTTACTACAGTATCTCATGTCAATCTAGGTCATCCCCTCCCACTAATGTTTCTATTAGTTGTGATCCTAGCGTACTTTCTCATCGTTGCCTCTACTGGTCTTTGTTATACATGACACACCTTTTTAGTATATTTTCTCTCAATTTATTTCCCATTGATGCTATTCTTACTATCCATGAATGTATGCATTTCTAATTCTATCTTTTTTTAATCTTACCACACATCCACCTAAAATATCCTCACCTCAGTTACACTCATTTTACAAAAATGTTTCTTAATTGCCCTACATTTTATCCTGTAAAATAGTGTTGGTCGTATAACTGTTTTATTAGTATATGTCAATCACATAATATGGTGGAAGCATTCATTCACTTTAAATTGAGTTCACTCAGTTGTTCCAACTTTTACTACATAATACAGCCAGGTGCCAACATGCTTGACAACAAAAGTTTCACCTCTACTTGATCCCCCTTCCCCCCTCCTCTCCCAAGGACAAGAAGATCCCATTCCCAAAAATATAATGATAATCTAATTTTAAATTTGTTACCTTGCACTCTAAGAGCTAGAAATTTTTGAGATAATTAACACAAATAGGTAAAACTAATTTATGTTAAGTCTCTTGGACACTCTGGATCGCATGATGTGGTAAAACAGATCTCTTTGTGGACATTTCTTCTTGAGTTCAATGTTAGTCTTTATTTACTTTTCATATGTAGAGATGGAAAATGGAGGGTTTAGACCCAAATCCGTCCATTTAATAAACAAGTTGAAGCGGGTTGGGTTGTGAAAAATTTAGAAATCCCCTAGATATTGATTTGTGATTATGTATCAATTTCAAGCAGTAAATAACAATCTCAATCAAACAATCAAGACAAATCGACACAACGATTTTACGTGGAAAACCACAATTGGAGCGCCTCCAATTGTGATAAAAAAAACCACGAGCAAAAGCCACAAAACAATCCACTAAGAAGATATAAAGGAATTACACAAGTGTTCTCTCAATTACCTAGCGAATCCATGCCCGAATTAAACCGACCCCAATATGCCTCTTCCAACCACGTCTTCAGCTCGGAATTGTCTTACTTAACGTTGAATCCACAGCGCCGATATCGAATCCACGACGATGAGCCACTCCAGAATCCACCAAAACTTTAGACTCGAATTCCACAGAATCCACTGAAGAACAACACCCTCTTTTGTATTGAATAAACAAACAAACCTTTGATGTATACTTCTTAAACCATGAGTTGAATACTCAATCAAACATTAAAGAAAACTAGCAAAATAGCCCCAGATATAAACCCTAATATCCAAGAAGAAGATCTAGAAGCGTAACCCTAAATTCTGACTGAAACACGTATTTATAGAAAACAGGGCTGCGATGCTCGCTCAAGCGAAAGAATGCTTGCTCGAGCGAGGAGACTAAAATGCATGTTTTTCCAAGTGTCTTCTCTTGAGCCATCTAAGTTTTGCTCGAGTGGGAAAAGCATCTTCTTAGTATTTTTACAGTCAGACGCAACTTCTGGGATCAGGGATTCTTCGCTCAAGTGACCACTCTTTCGCTCGAGCGACCAAACAACTTCAAATGCATTTTTGCATTTTGCTTCAGGGGCGCTACCCCTCAACTCCGTCGTGGCGCTGTCCCAGACCAGCCAAGGAAAACATGAAAGAATTATCTTCTAAAACTTCTCTGCAAGGCATAATTTGGGTTGAATTTGCATCTAAATACTCATAGCATCACTGAAATAAACGAGCAAATAAAAGTACAACTAAAAGGAGTTTTGTCAAAAAGGATTGCCAAGAATAAAAATCTAACAATCTTCCCATTTGGCAATGCCGTGACAAAGCACACCTAACAAATAAAATTCTAATCACCCCAACCCGTTACAGCCAACAAAAAACAAACTTTTTTCTCAAACACATGATCTGCAAAACAGCTATTAGTGCCACAATCTCCAAAATAATTATTAGTGCCACAAGAGTATATGAAAAAGTAATAAACATATGACAAGATTTTCTAGAAGCATGAGATGGAAATATGAATACATATAAATTGGAGATTTTAAGAACAGGTAGTATGGAAACATGAAAACTAAGACATATGCACCCCACAACATTTCTCCCCCTTTTTGTCATGAATTGACAAAGGAATAAAGGAAGCTCAAACAACGAAAGCAAGATCATAAAACCACACAAGCAAGGACAAGATGATGGAAAAATTATTAATCTGTGAGAAGTAAGCAATAAACAAGCTTAGCAACACACAAACCAACTAAAGCCAAACTCCATTACCAAACAAATCAAAGTGTTCATGCTAACAAACTCTTGTAATGATAAACCAAACTCCCCCTCACTAAAAGTAACCACAACACTGTACTAAAAACAAAGAACAAGAAGAAAAGAAAAAAAAAAACAAAAACAAAATGGTGGAGCAAGCAAGGAATTTCAAATTTGTACCTCAAAACACACAAGATTATCCAAGGTGCACGATTACATGAAAACACAATGTGCACAGCCTCTAGAAGATACCTCATAAAAGAAAGTGATGCATTATGTGAAAAGTATAGATCCCATGATAAAAGTGTGTGTGTGACTCTTGGAGTTCGACAAACGCTAGATTCAAATCCTAGTAGTGATCTGAAATTTGGACCTTTGGCGAGAGAATCTAAGTACAACAAAGGAAAGTCAAACCACTAGGAATCAATGGGTATTTGTTGAGTAATAACAGAGGCTCCCCCTCAATCAATGAATCCCTTCTTTTTTTTTTCTTTTCCACATTTTTTTTATTTTCTTTCTTTTGCACATTTTTATTTTCTTTCTTTTGCACACTCATTTGGCATCTGACACGCTCAAGAGTATGGAAACCGAACCAGAGAGGCACGGATACAATAAGGATAGCATGGTTGGTGACTCTAAGGTAACCTTTTCCTCATGGCTGGACTACAAAGAATAGAGGGGAAAGCCATGGAGATACAAAAAGATGGAAGATGGTTAAGAGACTCAACATCACCCATAAAATGCTAGTATAGGTCAATTCCTATAGAAAAGCAAAAGATACAATGCCAGAAGTTCATAGAGAAAAAAATCACTAAGGCGGAAGAGTCCAATATTTGCTAATCCAAGAGTATGTACAGAATGAGACATACTAATCAAAGAACACACACCCTGAAATGAGTAATGACCACATAAAGCACACACATATTAACATGTAATAAATATTCTCATCAATTCCAATATGCACCAAGGACTACTCAAAAATTTCAAGCTTGCAAAACCATACTAAGAAAATCTTTTTGGTTTTTGTTTTTGTTTTGTTTTGTTTTTTTTTTTTTTTTTTTTTAACAAAGAGTAAAACAAACGAACAAGCACACAATAAATGACTCAAAAAGAAAAAAAAAACACACAGAAATCCAAAAACTAAATCGAATAAACAAATTAACACAAGTCAAGTTTTCTCACCCAAACCGCTTTAGTATGAACAAAATTGTGAGAATTGCGATTCTTGGGTGGTGTCTTGACGTTGTGGTTCCCTTCATCTTCATTGGGAACCCGTCTCAACTTGGTTTCCAAGTTCCTATTCCTAGGTCTGGACAAACAAAACCTCTGTTCATGTTTGGTCT